TTATGTCTATCTTTTTACCTATTTAAACACTCAGTTTTTGTCCAGACTGATCATTTCCAACTACTATCATCCTTTTTGTCCCTTTTCTATCCTAACACACTTGCAGCAAGCTTCCAACCATTGACTTGCCCTCTTGGCTCCAATTTTCCCTGGCCTTGGATACTAGTCTCATAGTATTTTGAAATACCACAACGAATGTAGTTATTAGGGCTGGAGCGATAGGGCGTTTGCCCCTCTCGGAGAGCCCAGCAAGCTACTGAGAGAATCTCACCTGCGGGGCAAAGCCTGGCAAGCTACCCATGACGTATTCAATATGCCAAACACAGTAACACCAAGTCTCAAAATGGAGACATTACTGGGCCCGCTCAAGCAAATTGGTGAACAATGGGAGGACAGACAGACAGAATGTAGTCATTCTATGTTTATCCCTCTCTTTCTGATTCATTTCACTCAGCATAGGGCTGGAGCGATAGCACAGCGGGTAGGGCGTTCGCCTTACAAGCGGCCAACATGGCCGACCCGAGTTCGATTCCTCCGCCCCTCTCGGAGAGCCCGGCAAGCTACCGAGAGTATTCGATATGCCAGACACAGTAACAACAAAAGTCTCCAATGGAGACGTTACTGGGCCCGCTCGAGCAAATCGACGATCAACGGGAGGGCCTTTACCTTTACCTTTAATACTCTCCATGTCCTTCTAGTCATAAGAAAATTTCATCACTTCATTTTTCCTAACAGCTGCATAGTATTCTATTGTGTAGATGTATCATAGTTTCTTTATCCAGATGTCTGTTCTTAGGGACTTGGATTGTTTCCAGATTCTGGCTATGGTGAATAGTGATGCAATGAACATAGAAGTGCAGATAGAGTTTCTGCTGTGTCTCTGGGCTCCCAGAGTATATTCCCAGGGGGCTCAGATGGGCCCCAGATGGGTCAAATTGGAACTCAATTTCTAGTTTTATTAAAGTGTTCATGTTTTCCTTAAAGGCCTGACCAGTCAGCATTCCCACCAACAGTGAAAGAGCGTCACTTTCTTCCTGCGTCCGCGTCAGCACTGGTTGCTCTTGTTCTTTAGGATGTGTGCTAGTCTCTGTGGTGTGAGATGGTATCTCATTGTTGTTTCCATTTGCATCTACCTGATAATTAGTTATGTAAAGGAATCTTTCATGTGCCTTTTAGTCATTTGAGTTTCTTCTTTGAGGAAGTTTCGATTCATTTCTTCTTGCCATTTTTTGATGGGTTTGGATGTCTTTTTCTTGTAAAGTTCTACCAGAGCCTTCTATATCTTTACGATTAAAGAAATTATCATTTCTTTTGAGGTGCAGAAGCTTCTTAGTTTAATGTAGTCCCATTTGTTTATCTTTTTGGTCAGGGAGTTTCATCTTCGAAGTTGCCTTTACATTCAATGCCATGGAGGGTTTTGCCTACATTTTCTTCTGTGTACCTCATGAGGTATAATCCATTTTGATCTATCTGATTTGATGGCTTTAGGACAAGTCATGAGTTCTGAGTTCTGAGATGTGAGATCACTTGTTGACATGTAGCTGCCGAGTTTCCCCAGCACCACTTGTTAAAGAGGATTTCCTTGTTTCTTTTCCTATTACTTGCTCTTTTACCAAAGATTGAATGATCTTATATTTAAGAGTGTGTATCAGGATATTCAAGTCTGTTCCATTGGCTGGCCTGTCTTTATTCTAATATCATGCAGTGTTAATTACTAGCATTGTTTAGTACAGTTTGAAGTTGGGGAAAGTGATACATCCCATCTCTTTTTTTCCCAAGGATTACATTAGCTATGTGTGGAGGTTTATTGTTCCATATATATTTCAGGAGTGTTTGGTCTATTTCTTGGAAAACGGTCATGGATTTCCTTATAGGGACTGCTCTGAATCTGTATAAAGCTTTTCGAGTATTGTCATTTTGACAATGTTAATTCTCCTAATCCATGAGCAGAGGATGTGTCTCCGTTTTCTCATGTCCTCTTTCATTTCTTGAAATAGCACATTTTGAGGGTTTTTTTTTCAGGTCTTTGTCTCCTTAGTTAAAGTGATTCTGCGGTACTTGACTTTCTGAGGCATAATTGTGAAAGGAATTTTTATATCACTTTATTCTCTCTTTTTTTGTACATGGGAAAGCTATAGACTTTTGGGTATTGTCTTTGTAACATGCCACTCTACTATACAAATCTATTGTTGCTCGGAACTTCCCGGCAGAGACTTTAGGATTCTCTTAGTATCCTGTTATCTGCAAATAATGAGAACTTGACGTCTTTCTTTCCTATCTGAATGCCCTTGATTTCTTTTTCTTCCATACCTGCTATGGCAAATACAACCTATACTATATTGAATAGAAATGGTGGGAGTGGAAAGCCTTGTATTGTACCTAACCTTAGAGTGAACACTTTTAATTTTTCTCTATTAAAGAATAATACTGTGGACTTGTGTTGGATGGCTTTGATCGTACTGAGGAAAGTACCTTCATCTCCAATTTTGTTGAGCGCTTTAATCAAGAATGGGTGCTGGATCTTATCAAATGCTTTTTCTGCATCATTTGATATAATCCTCTTTTATATTTTCTGTTGTATTTATAGTTGTATTATGGTGACTAAGTTGTGAATGTTAAACAATCCTTGCATTTTGGGGATAAATGCTAGTTGTTCATGATGTATAATCTTTTTGATGATTCACTGGATTCCATTTGCTAGTATTTTGTTGAGTATCTTTTCAACTTTATTCATGAGGGAAATCACGCTGGAATTCTCTTGGTTGGGGTGCCTCTGTCTGCTATTGAGACCAGGGTGATATTTGTTCCTATAAACAGTTTGAAGGATGATTTTGTTTCTTCCATTTTCTGGGAAAGTTTAAAAACTATTGGCAGTCTTTCGTCTTTAAAGGTTTGGAAGCATTCACTAGTGAATTCATCTGGGTCTGGGCTTTTGGTTTTTATTTACTTGTTATTGATAGTTCTGTTCAGGTATTTCAAATCTTCATGTTCAGTTTGGCTCCTTGTGTTGGTCTTTTTCTAAGATCTTAAGCCGTGTAGACAAGTGTTTATGTGGGTCATTTCTTCCTTCCTGATGAAATCTTGCAGAACTGTAAATTTCCCCCTTAACACTGCGTTAGTTGTCTCCCACAAGTTCTAGTAACTCATGACCTCTTTCTCGTTTATTTCTAGAAATCTGACTTCATCTTTGATTTCTTTTCTAATGCACTGATTGATCATAGTGAGCTGTTTAATTTTAGGTGGTGATTTGATTTTCTGCTACTGTGTGTGATTAACTTCTATTTTCAGTGCATCATGGTCTGAAAAGATAGTTGACACAGGACTATGAAATTTGGAGGCCATGAATTCCAGAAGCTATGGAACTGGAGTTAGTGGGTTGGTGGCTTGATGAGGATCAGTGTAGAACTGGGCTGTTTATATGTCAGAGGATGTTGGATGTGGGGAGGAGCTGCTGGTACTTGCAGTCAGGATAGGGCTGAGAGAATCAGCCCTCACCGATTGTGAGATTCAAAGTTCTCAGCCGAGATTTGGGTTCACCTGGAAAAATTCTACATTTTATTTCTGATGTTCTATTTTCTATGTTCAGATTTGAGCCTGAGACCTCCTAGTTCAACCTGTGAGCACTTTCCCGTGAGAGCACAACTGAATCCAAGCTCAGTCCTGGGACAGGTTTGTCCTGGTGATCCATCAGTTTACATCACGGAACAGAGCCTCCATGAGTGTTCAGGGAAGGAACGAAAACTGGAGTTAGACCTTAGCATTTGTGGAAGGAACTGGGCAAGTCGGGTCTGGAAGAAGAGGGACTAGGAAAGGCCCTGGGCAGGGAGATGGATGGGGCTGCTCAGGAGCCCTTCCCCAAGCATGTGCTGTCACCAGAGTGGCTGGCTGGAGGGGGTGCTGTGGAGAGGCTGGTGCTAAGCACCTGTGGCTGATGGGTGAGGTTGAAGGCATAGGGATGGATGAATCCTGTAAGAGGTTGTCTGCCTTCCCCTGGCCCAGGATGTTGGTCTCCTGTGCTGTGGGGTCACTATGGGACAAGAAGGTCCCATAGTTGGGACCTTCTCCCATAGGGTGGGAGTAGGGCATAGGCGAGGAGAAGGTAGAGGTTTCCTAGCTGAGCTCAGAAGTTTTGCTGAAACCTGACTGGAGGCTGGGAGGCGGAGGACAGGATAACACAGGACAGGTCTGAGCAGGACAGGACAGGACAGGACAGGACAGAACAGGGCAGGACAGGTAGGAGGGCGGAGGCGGGTTCTGCTGGGATAAGTGAGTATTGCGGGAGTTTCTTCAGCAGTCTCAGACCTTCACAGCCTGATGGTCCTTGTCTCTGCTCTGCTGAGGGACAGTAAGTGCAGGAACTAGATGGGTTTGGGCAGTGAGCATGTGGAAGGGACAGAGAAGACCAGAATGAGGATGGAAGTCCTGGCCTTGAGGGTGTGGGGGAGGGTCCAGGGATGGGCCAGTGTTCTGGGATTTCCAGAGACATGAAGCTTTGGGGGTGGCTGGGCCAAGCAGGAAAACTCTCTTCAGAGGGTGAAGGGGCCCCTTGCATGAGTAGCTGAGGTGAGCCCCTCTTCGTGCCCGGGCCAGACCCTCAGGGGAGGAGCCTCAGTGTCCTGCAAGTCCCTGAGATGACGTCCTCTGTCAACTGCACTCTTGTTGGGCAGCTGCTTTGGTGCCAGTGGGGTGACCAGCACTGCTGACATGGGTCTGGGTGTCAGACACCCTCGACAGGGCACCCCACGTCCACATATGGGTCAGCTCAGGGAACTCGTATATGAGAGTAGACAGATCCTGTAAACTCGAGAGCTCAGGAACTCCAAGTAGGCTGTGCCCTGTGCCTGTGACCATCAGGAAACCCTGAGAGATGTTTTTTCTTCCAGACTGAGGGAGGAGGCATGTCTGTCCGGCTGGTTCTACTCCTGGGGGCTGTGCTATGTCTCCATATCTTCTGTAGCATTTCGGACACCAAAGATCAGGGGGAAGACCAGGGATCCTCTATGGATATCTTTACACTAGCCAACAGAAGCAATGAATTCAGCTTAAGACTCTATAAGCTCTTGGCTGCCCAGAGTCCTGAGTCCAACATCATCATCTCCCCGATCAGCATCTCCATGGCCCTGGCCTTTTTGGCACTGGGGGCTGGTGGCGACACTAAGACCGAGATCCTACAGAGCCTCAAGTTCAACCTCACCAAGACCCCTGAGGCCAAGATCCATCAGAGCTTCCAGCTGGTTGGGAGACTCCTGCGCATGACAAACACCAACCTGAAGCAGGACTTGAGCACCGCGTTATTTGTGGACCAGCAGCTAGTGCTGAAGAAGGATTTCCAGCAAAAAGCCCAGCAACTGTACAGTGCCAATACCACCTCTGTAAACTTCCAGGATATCACCGCCACCAAGAAGCTTATCAATAATTTTGTGGAGCAGAAAACCCACGGGAAAATCAAGGATGTGGTCAAGTACCTGGATACACATACCAGGATGGTCTTGGTGAATTCTCTCTTCTTCAATGGTGAGGTTGTGCGTGTGGGTGTAAAACGGTCATAAGCTCTTGGCCTTTGGGCTGCTTCTGCTATGTGCAGCCTGCTGTGATCCCAGGAGCTAGTGCAGAGACTCGGGTGCCCACATGAAGTCCAGGAGTGGAGCAGGACCCCCACGTGTGCCCGGAAGGAGCTGTTGGTTCCTGCCTTGGGGCTGGGAGTGGGTCTGGGAGCACACAGAGCTGACAGGCAGTGCAAGGACAGGCAGTGCAAGGTCTGAGAGAGGACAGTAGAATGGTCATGCAGAGAAACAGACAGAAGAGGGCAGAGATCAGGGCTCCTAACAAGAAACTGTGAAGTTGAGGGGCAGGAACAGGTGGACGGGCCTGGACGCTGTGACATGAGGGCCTCAGTCAGCTCCCAGATCTGTGTCAGGGGCAATTCAGATGGCCTGGGACCCAGAAATATCAGCTTTGGGTTTTGGGTGCAGAATACACGGACGGTAGCCATTCTCAACCCTGTGCATAGGGGTATCTGGGACTAGGCTCCCTGGCAAGGCTGGGTGATGTCAGATGCAGATCAGTTCCCTCTGGTCAGTAGTCAGCTTCTCCAGGCCCAGATCCTGACCTGCTTCCCTGTACAGGTCCCCACTGCCCTGTCCTGTGTCCCTGAGCTCTGCCTCTGCCCACTCGTATTTCTACCCCTCACCCATGTGTGATTCGCCTTCTGCCAGGTTAGGTGAGCTCATCTCCTTCCTCCTCCTATACAGCTCCTCCTCGAGTCATTTAGGAGGACAGAAGACTTGGGTTTCCGGAAGGTTATGCCTCTGTCCCCATTCTATGATGGAGTGACAGCCATTTATTCATTCTATGGTTTGCCAGGTCACTTTCTCCCAGGCTGTGACTACTCCCAGCAAAAAGGCTCCACCATTTCCCTGACTCCCATCTCCCTGTACTCCAAAAGTCCCATTGGTTCTCATTCAGCACATCAGTGAGCTCTGGGCTGCCTTATCTCCCATTTGACATTTGTGGGATCCCCAATTTTTAAGATGCCTTCACAATCCAAACATGGGATGGGTTGAGAGTGTTGGGAACTCAGGAATCCTGATCAGAGCATGCAGGACGGGCCACCTGGACCAACCTCTCCAATGTTCTTTCTGCCTCTAGCCAAATGGAAAATGCCCTTTGACCCCAATTACAACTTCAATTCAACTTTCTACTTGAGCACGAAAAAGTGGGTGAATGTAACCGCAATGAGAGCTGAGAAGAAGAAGATACTCTACTTCTGGGATAATAGGTACTCTCTCAATATTGTGCTGCTCCCATACAAGGATGGCCGAATCAGTATGTTCCTCATCCTCCCTAACAATGGCGCCATGCCCAAGCTGGAGGCTGAACTGAACATGGATCTGATCTATTTCTGGAAGAACTCGATGAGGCTGAGGTAATGCACCCCATTTTTGCCGGGCCCTCTTCCATGGTTCACATCTCCTATTCTCATTCACAAGGACCCCCCAACTCTGGAGCAGCAACAGATAACTGGGAAAGAATCAACTAGGGTTGGGGATCCTGACTCTGGAGTTCTTATCACTCTGGGGCACAAAGTGGACCCATGACCGGCTTCCTTTGAGAGGAACACGATCAGGGTGTGGGGTGGAATTGACCATTAAGCCAGCACTAACCTGCCTGTCTACAACAACCCTCCTAGCCACCCCCACACAGCATAGTTCCAGGCAAGGGATCCCACAGAAGTGATGAACAGAGAAAACTGAATATAGACAGACCTGCAACGGCTTTGCCCTGGCTCACGATGAATTGTTCATTCATTCATTCATCCAGGCTTCTCTCATTCATTGACTCATCCACCAATTCATTCATTCATTTAATGATTTATTTATTCATTTTCACACATATAATCATTCACTGGCTCACTCATTCACTTACTAACTCATTCCACCACTCATCTATTCACTCATTCATGTCTTTATTCTTTGCTGCCTGCCTCATTTAATGACTCACAGGATCAGTCACTCACTTGTTCACTCAGCACCATGGGGGATGGTAACTGAGCACCGCCAGGTCCCAGCCTCCAACCTGTACTTGAACTGATCTTGCACAGCTCAGTCTGCTTTTGCTCCTAGGCTGATGAGTTTGTACGTGCCCAAGCTCTCCGTCTCCAGGGGCTACAACCTGGAGCAAGTCCTGCCCATGCTGGGCACCATCGAGTTCTTCTCCCAAGTGGCGAATTTCTCAGGCCTCTCCACTGCCAGGAACCAGGGTCTAATCCAGGTAACCGTGGACCTGCTGTCTCTGAGGAAGACGTGTTGTGGGCATTTGGGTTTCCAGAAGGGCTGTGGAGGTCTTCACAGCTGTGTCTCCCCTGGAATCCCAACACCTTAAGACTCCTGGGAGTGTTGGTGTGTGATTGGGGGTCTCAGCCTTGCTGTGGAAAATGTGAATTGGGACCCAATTGTACTGCCCAGGAGTCATCCACATCTTCCAGTCACTTCTGACCTACCATACAGTGGGGGCTTGTACTGGTCATGACCCAGAAGAGCTCAGCAGGAAGGAGCTCGAGTGGTTAAGGAGCCCCGTAGGCTGTACTGAGATGGACTGTAGCCGGTGGTACCGCTCACCTGTCCCAACTCCCTAAAGAATGAAAGTTCATTCTTACAAGGGTGATCGGGTTGATTTGGCCTGGGAGTTTGTTACTGGGGGACAGACAAAGACAGCAGGAACAGCCCAGCGGGAGCCAGGTCCCTGCAGGGAACAGGAGGCCAGGGCTGTCCACTCGGCTCCAGGTGCTGGGTCAGCAGGTGCCCCATGCACAGGGGCTCCTTTTAGAAGCTAAGGAAAAGCACCCGAAATGAATCTTCCAGCTCCCACAGTGCGTGTTGGGAATCTCAGACACTGCCCCAGGCAGAGCAGGACACCGAGATCCCTCTCTTGTCCACACACCTGAGTTCACTCCTGCCCACATCCTATCCAACCATTTGTTATCTTGACAGTGCTGGCTGGGCCTTGTGTTTTCGAGGGTCTATGACTGGGAACCCCCCCAGGTCCAGGATAGCTGGCCCTCGAGGAGTGTGGGCAGGCTGGCTGCCCCCTGCTGTCCTATCCACTGGTGACTACTCTTTGTCCAACAGGTGGTCCACAAGGCCGTGTTGGATGTGGCCGAAAAAGGCACTGAAGAAGCGCCTTCCCAGAGAAAGTCCAAAGTTCCTCCTCCAAGACTATTGCGGCAGACTCTGGATTTTTCCAGGCCATTCATGGTGATCGTCTTCTCTGAGATCACAAATAACATCCTTTTACTGGGCAAAGTCGTAAACCCCAAGCAGGCCTGAGCTGATGCTGGAATAATGAGGCCTATTGCAAGAAATTGGCCCTTCCCAGAACACTGCATGTCCCATCCCAACTGGTCACTTTCCTGGTGGCTTGATCCAGTATGGGAGACTGTGTGAAAACAATAAATATCTTCCCTACAACACTCGGCTGGGCCATGACCCAGAGATCCTTGAGGGACCCTTCATCTGCCTTCACTTGCCCCAGGCCCTGGACCTCAGCTCTGGGCTTTCCATGCTCAAAGACATCTTCTGGGCTCTAAGCTGGTGACCCAGATGCCCTGGTCGTGGGCACCTGGATCCTGTCTGTGTCTGTTCATTCTAGGTTCTTTGTCTTTAATTAGGATCCACTTTGCACAGGGTCCAGATGTGTCCACCTGGACCATTCAGGGCCCCCTAGTCAGTGCTGTGTGCCAAAAGGTCACCCTAAGCCTGCAGCGGAACTGGTAACCACTGCTTGGCCACTGCCTTCGACCCAGCTCCCCAATCTGCAGAGAATCATTCCAACCAAGTGCCAGCTGCCTGAGTGTCCCCTCCTTCCTGGACAAAGCCCCATAAACAAGGGCTCAATTGGAGGGCAGGGGTCATTTCTAGAGAATCAGAGCTTCCAGAGCCTCATGCATGCAACCACATTCCACCTGGGTACCAGGGCTGGTGTCTCTAGCCCCTGAGGCATGACTAAGGGCTGAATACCAACACCCCCTGAGGGCCGGCAGCTGAGATCTTAATGTGCTGTGACCCATTCCACCTTGCCATCACAAATTGATTCCATGTTGTGATTAGTAGCAGAAAATGGGAGACTCAGAGGTTCAGTGATTTCCCCTCAAGGCCACTGAATTGCGTGTCTTGAGAGCAATTGCCACATTAATGAGTATAGGGAAGCCCAACCAGACCACCAAGCATTTCCACCACTACTAGGGTAAAGGTAGAGGTAAAGGCCCTCCTGTTGATCATTGATTTGCTCGAGCGGGCCTAGTAACGTCTCCGTTGGAGACTTTGTTGTTAGTGTGTCTGGCATATCGAATACGTCATGGGGAGCATTCCAGGCTCTGCGGGGGGGGGGGGGGGGGGGGGGCGAGATACTCTCCTTAGCTTGCCGGCCTCTCCGAGAGGGGCTGAGGAATCCAGAAATTACCGCCGGGCTGTCCCACCCACCTGCAGAGGGAGCCAGAGCGCAGCAGTGAGGGGTGCTGCCTCCCAGCACCACCCAGCGCCCAGATGCTCCTGTGACTCTGCTGTTACTGTGCCTCTGACACAGCTTCTAGGAACTAGGAACTCGGGCTCCAAGACCCACTATATCCCCATTAATATGCCAGAGTAGCTCAGGGGACCCGGGATCAAGTCCTCCCGGGGACCCGGGGCCTCACCAAGGACAGAAGGCAAGAAGGGCGTTTGGGCGAGGAGCCCTGTGCAGCTCGCGGGAAGCCCAGAACTCCCTGTCCTTTAGGTGAGCCCCTGGCCCAAATCGGCACATGTCCCCGAGACTGGAATCGCCCACAGCCCTTTGGAATTTGTGTCGTTTGTTCAACAGCGTGATAGGGAGATCTCTGGGGAGTGGGAGGGGCACCCCATCCTCTCCCCACTATCCCCCGGAAACAATGGATGGTCCTCTGGCAATCAACCCACCATTCCTGCTGCCCTTTGACCCCTGCATATACACAGCCCCTCTCCAGCTCTGCTCAGCACTAAGGAAATTCAGGGATTCTGTGTGTGGTGACACAGACACTGAGGACGAGGACAGATGAGGCGTGAGCAAGGCAGGTTGGCCATCTGCAAGATCAAATCCACATTCCTGACACATCCCAGCCCGACCTCAGTAATGGGCACAGGCAGTTGATCCCACCTGCTGACTACAGCGACTCGCCCTGAAGAGGCTCACAGGGATGGTCCATGGACTATCTGATGATCAAGATAGAAGGTGACAAAAACAATTTTTATGTTATTGAAGTAGGTAGATAATGAAGGGGGTAGAAATATTAGATGATTAGAGCAGGCTCTAACAATTAAGTAAAGTAAAATTGATTGTGTAGTCAGGGAAGACTTCCGTAAGGAGGTGCTCTCAGAGGAAACATGGTGAGGATGGTGTTGAGGGTAACTGCAGGGTTAGAGAAGAGAAAGTTCTGGCACCAAAGAGTGATGAAGACATTGGCAAGAAGCTGAAGGAATCGGGCCGGTCTGGAGAAGCAAGGAGGATTTGGAGACAGGAAGAGGCTATGGCTGAGCTCCGATTGCTGAGATCAGGTACTGGAAAGGTGTCTAGAATGTTCCTTCAAGCCATCAGTGACTCCAAGAATTTTTTGCATATTCTTGGTACCAGATTTGAATCTGAGAAAATGATGCTGGCGATTTTTCTGCCCAGTACAGAGTAAGTGGGAGAGAACATGGAGTTCTATATCTATGTCTACCCACCACTCAGCAATATGTTATCTACCCACACACCATCCATCTCTTATTCATCCATACGAACTTCCATCCATCCAAAATTCATGTACTCTCCATCCTTCTATTGTTCCTCCATCAACCACCCATCTACCTTCCATTGAACTGCCTATGCACCTAAGTGTGTATCTACACCTCATGTCCCGACCATCCACCCAACCAACCACAAACCCATCATCCACACTTCCATTCATCCATACATTCTATATGCGTTTGCCATCCTTCCATCCATCCATCCATCCATCCATCCATCCTTCGTTCATCTTTCTTCCCACGCCAACTCAATTACGACAATCCACCATCCAACCGATAATAATCCAACCATAGATACATCTCCATCATCTATTCACCCATCTCCTATCTTTGCATCTTGAATTTATTTGAAAAATCTATCATTTATCCATCAACAATCCAATACATCCAATACACACATTCTTCTTACTACTGCCCATCATTATTCATCCTCCTACCCAACCATCATCCATGGTCATCATCCTTCTATCCTTCCATCCATCTACCCATCTACCCATCCATCATCCATCCATCCATCCATCCATCCATCCATCCATCCATCCCTGCATCCATGCATGCATGTATGCATGCCTCCATCCATCCATCCATCCATCCATCCATCCATCCATCCCTGCATCCATGCATGCATGTATGCATGCATGCATCCATCCATCCATCCATCCATCCATCCATCCATCCATCCATCCATCCATGCCTTCATGGTATCAGAATTTATTTACAATGGAATATTTTCCCTTCTAATTTTGGTTATCTCAGGAGTAGAAGGGCAGTGATGGGCAGGGAAGACTGAGGCCAGAAAGACAAGTAAGGTGGTTGGCAGTCCAAGGGCTGGATAGCAGTCTAGCCAAGGGGGAAGTATGCTGCTTCCTGGTATGACTCCAGCTCACAAGACTCCTTGTGCTCTAGTCTGAGAGCCTTTCTAGGGGAGTAGCTGCAGCTGATAAGGGCTGTAGAACAAGGAATTTTTTAGCCTCAAGCCTGCTACATGATGGCCTGCCCAAGCAATTGGGTGCATTCATGCAGGAAGGCGACAGTGGGGGGACATAGTTGAGGTCCTGCATGACCTTGAAGTGTTCAGGAGGCAGCTCCCAGGCGATCGCAGAGGAGGGTCATTGAAATATCCAGAGCCTGTTTCTAATCATGCCATAGGTGCTGGTTCTGGAGGCAGGAGAAATGGTGCCTGAGACCCAGAAGAGGACACAGGGATCTTAGGGTTTTGGTGTGGAGGGAACAGAGCCTGTATGAGGGTGTGATAACCTTGAACCCATCTGTCATACAGTGAACAAGTGTCTCGGGATCTCAGACCCTTATGCCCCGGTGAGGAAGAGGCAGGGAGAGTGTGGGTGAGTTGTATGTGAGTGTGGGTGAGTGTCTGTGAGTGTGGGATGAGTTTGCGTGAGTGTAGGGTGAGTGTAGAGTGAGTGTGGATGACTGTGGGTGAGTACAGGTGTGATTCTCTCTCTCTCTCTCTCTCTCTCTCTCTCTCTCTCTCTCTCTTTCTCTCTCTCTCTGTCCCCTCCCCCCGAGTCTTGCTAGTGGTTTTCTGTGGATCTTGTATTTTTGGTTTTGGTTTTTTGTTTTTTGGAAAAACGGTCCTTGGTTTCATTGATCTTTTAAATTTTGGTGGGGCATTCTGGCTCATTAATTATGGTCTAATTTTTTTTTATCATTTCATACCTCCTGCTTCATTTGGGCTTTTTGTTGGTAGTTTCCAGGATTGTACGCTGTGAAGTCGGGTTCTTTATGTGGACCTTTTATTCCTTACTGATGAATACTTGCAGAACTATAAACTTTCCTCTTAATACTGCTTTTGCTGTGTCCCACAATTTCTGGTACCTCGATCCATATTCTTAGTTGGTTTAAGAAAACTTCTTTATTTCCTCTCTGACATACCGGTTGTTCAGTAATGAGCTGTTTAATTATCATATGTTTTATTTGATTCTCCATTTCTGTGTGTGATTAACATCTATTTTAAGTGCATCATGATCTTAGAAGATGGTTGAAGCAATTTCTATACTCTTGATATTATGGAGATATGTTTTTTATTCCAGAATGTAGTCTATTTTGGAGAATGTCCCATGGGCACTGGATAAGAATGTATATTCGGGGATTTTTTGGGAGTGAAAAGCCTGGGATACCATTATTAGGCCTCTCTCTTCAAATTCTCCCTATAAAGTTAGTATTTAGTTGCTGATCTTTGGTCTCTCTGATCTACTAAGAGGCAACAAAATAGTTCAACAGCGTGTTCAACAGGACAGATGAGGCGTGAGCAAGGCAGGTTGGCCATCTGCAAGATCAAATCCACATTCCTGAAGTCTCCAACTACGATTCTGTGGCTATCAATTTCCTCTTTGAAGTCCAATAGCAATTTTTAAAGTATCTTGCTGGTCCCTTACTGGGTACATGGATGCTAATAAATGTCATTTTTTCCCAAGTTACGTATCCCTTGATTATTAAGAAATGACATTCACTGTCCCTTATCACCTTTTTCAGCCTGACATTTATGTCGCTGAACACTAGTACGGCCACCC